TCTAACCTGTTTTAACAAACAAAAGGCCAATTATTGATACAGCAGAAAAGGAATTCCAGACATTAATACAGTACATTCTCAGATTTTCGACCTACCAATCTGGGATAAGCAGCAGCAAGATTTGCCATTCTCCGATTTCCGCCATATATTTCACCAGCTGCAATATAGATTTGATAACTATTATCAATTTCCAGCGCCCTCAATATGAGGGTAGTTTCCTCTGGCGTCAAAGGGCACAAACCATCTTTTCTTTTCAAATCGGAATTTATTTTTTCTTTCCACCAGGGATAAGCGTATCTGCCAAAATAAGTTAAGGAGACTGAGATTTAACTTTAAAATTTAGGCTTGCTGGTCATTTAATTGTTAAAGATGCATGTAATACTCACCTCATTCTTGTTAACTCCTCCACCTCCTCGTTGTTGCAACCTTGGGTACAGCCAGAAAATGCCAACATGTCCATTTCATATCTAAGATGAAGTACTATAAAAGGACCATTTTTCCTCAGAAGCTTAATAACTTGTTTGCCTAAGTCCTCTATCTGAGAAGTGAATCTCAAAGCACTAAAATTTACACGACATCGCAGCTTCTGAACATCTAAAGGCTGCCCATTGTTGGCAAGTCGAGTATCAGTTCTATTCAAATGTACTACTTTATGCTTCTGTATGAAAGGAAGAATCTGCAGGTAATAGAAAAATAAAAACATGCTACTTTAAGAGGACTCCCTAAGAGGAAGGAAAAAACTGGGAATGTGTAGATCATATTTTAAAAAAATAAACAAATTAAATTACACCAAAACCTAAAAAAATCCATAAATTTTTTTGTAATGATGGAGAATGGACCTGGTTACGGTAGTAGGATATATCAGACCAGCTAATTGGTGGCATGGAATACACCATCCCATTTCAACTCTCCTCTTAAGCCTAGGAGGCAGCTCCTTCAATATACGAACCTCATCTCTCAATGATGTAATAAAATGTTCCACATCAAATATATCTTGAAATTCACTGCGTTTCAATAAAAATGTATATTTAGAGATATGTAAGAAAATGATCCCTGTTCACCAGGACTATATTTTAGGTCAACCTTTCCATATTTACAAATGTGAGCAAAGCTTAGTTAGCACACCTGGGATCAGCCCAGAAGGATGATTTATCCAGCTCCGGAACTATAAGTGTGACATTCAAATATCTTGCAATGGTAACCATATCACAAATCTGTCAAGCAAACCCCAAAATAAAAGAACACAGAATCAGTTTCCACATGGATTATACAACAAACAACTCATGAAGTTACATAATCTAGAAAGAATTTCAAAGAATATATATATAGAGAGAGAGAGAGAGAGAGAGAGATTGGATAGAGCACTCACTGCTGCTCGCATTTGATTGAGACCTCCATTACATGAAATCATCAAGTAACCATTGTTTTTGTATACCCCTAATGTCAAGAAAATGAAAATCATGTCAAATTCGAATCCAATTTCAATAACAAAACAAATATATACACAGGAAAGTACCAACGATTCCTAACACTTTAATTAAAAAAAATCCTCAAGAAAAAGAATAACTATTTTGATAAAACTGAGGCATGCGATGTATAATCACTTGGGAGCATTAAATTTATATAAATTCAATCTGGCATCGTTACATCAAAAGAAAGATTAAGAGCAGAGAAAACTCACTTTTGGGAGGAAGTACACGAGCAGGAACGGAGGGGACTTTGTTTTCAATGGCGGAGAAGGATGAATCCTGGTGAGTGAAACAGGAAGGCCAGCCTTTAAGGACGCGTGGTCCCCACGTCTCCCTACGGCCGTTAATTGTACGATGCAAGTCCAAAGCAACACCGATGTGGTGGCGCGTATCATCCACAACTTCATTCTCGAGCTCTTCAGCTTTTCGACTCTCTCCCTCCGCCTTTCATTATCCCCATTCTCATCCCTCCCTTCCACCCTTTCCCTTCAACACTGCACATTTCCAGCAATCTCCGATCTCCTCCACATCCCCCACTCCCTGAATAAGACACCGGTTTATTCCATTTCAAATTCGATCAATGCAGGTATCCCAATTAACCACCTCGATAAAAAACCAAAATTCTCTTTCGTTTCTTCTTATCTTCCAAAAATAAAACCTAGCAGGATCTTGGAGATCCGATTAACTTCCGAAGATACAACTAAAAGAATCCGCCAAAAATCAATCAAAGAGATCCGAATTCCTCTCCTATCACAACTGAATTAACAAATTCCGATCTAAAAAGTAGAGAAATAGATTTGAAAACAATATGCTCTCTCCCTCTCTTTAACCGATCTAATCAGCTTCCCAGAGAGGAATTATCCAGGAGGGGCCGTTCAAACCCGTGCCTGCCTTCAAAGGTAAGCTCGGTCAATTATGCTCGCTCGCTCTCATTAATCAAATTTGTTATTATAAAAAATATATAATAAATTTTTTACGTTATAAAAAATAGAATTAAATTTAAATAATAAATATTAAGGTACACAAATGATCTCGATTTAGGGTAGTATTTTGTTAGATATCCGATTATAGAATATTATTTATTGAATCTTTAACTATTAAAAGTTAAATTGATTCTCGATTATAGGGTGTTATTTTGTTGAGTCTCCGTAATATTAAAAATTACAAATAATCACTCGATTATTCATATACTCCAAAACTCATATTTCCATTAAAACTTGACAGTCATATGAGTTAAATATTAACATATTGACTAAGATATGATACAAATATTTTAATGATGTTTATTAGATTATTATTGTTTTTAAACACTGACTCAACGATATAATATTTCAAACACTGACTTGACGATATAATATAAACAGTTTGTTGATCTACAAAATACAAATCAAATGGTATGAGATCATATTTATTATATCTTAGTCAACAATTTAACGTCCAACTCAAACAATCGCTAATTTTTAACAAAAAAGACAAATTTAAAATATATGAATAATTCAATGATCATTTATAATTTTAATAATTAATACATTTAATAAATAACGTTATATAATCGAATTATCATTTGTATATTTTATCCGATAATAAATTATACACTAACTAAACCCGATTCAATCATCTTTAATGTATGACCTGGCTCAGCTTTTGGCGTTGATCTGCTATTGGTGAAAACACACGTGGCGGCGTTTCAGGGATGCGATTTCATCCGTCGCTGTTCGATCTGGGGATGGGCGATACGCCGACATTATATCGCGAGAAATTCAAAACGTCACCTTTTATCTGAAAGATTCAATTTACATTTCACCAGTAACCAAAATTTCATTAAATAATTATACCAGTTTTTTTTACAATTATAATAAAAAATTATATATTTACAATATCTGATTTATTAAAAAATATTTTTATAATTAGTTTTATATAAAATTTAACTTTAATTTTTAAAGACAACTTTTTAAAAGTGTGAAAAGATCACTCCACCAACAATTTGCTTTTATTTAGAAATGATAAGGAAATTACGAGGATGAAAGTGTTATAAAGTTGGGTAAAGTATAAAAATGATTCTCTTCTTATTGGACGATATTTTGTTAAGTTTTTCGGTTATTAAAAGTTATAAAATAATTTTCCGATCATATGATATTATTTTGTTGAGTTCATCAATTATTAAAAGTTATAAATGCTCATCTATATATTTTATGTTAAAAAATTTGTCATTTTCTATTAAAAAAATTAATTGTTGTCTAAGTTGGACATTAACATGTTGATTGTGATAGAATAGTCGTTTGCGATTCAAAGATCAAATTTTATCACATCTCAGTAAATATTTAAAGTTCAACTCAGACTGTAGTCATATTTTTTAACGAAAAATATAAGTTTAAAACATATGAATTATCAGGTTATCATTTTGTAATTTTTAATAATCAATTAACTCCACAAAGCAATACCTTATAATCTAGAGAAGTTTTACAATTTTTAATAGCCTAGAACTTAATAAAATATCACCTTATAGTCTAGGGATATTTTTATACTTTACTCTATAAAAATTATCAAATTTAATAAATAATCATTTATTAAAATGTTAATTATTTTAAAATAAATTTTGAGGAAATGTATAAAATTTAATTTTAATTGTTAAATTACAATAAAAAAGTACAAAGTAAAAAATGATGGCGGTATTTTGGCGAGAACATTGTTAACAATTGATTCTTCATTTAGCGTCAGAGTGTCGGTTGCGCCGTTATGACGACGTTCGTTTGTCAGAACGGTTCATCCATCTGAGCTGACAGGTGTAGAAATCCCAATGCTCACCTATCCCATCAGATAGCTCGGTTACAGATCTATGGGCTCCATCTACAACGTGAATTAAGAAGACAATCCCCCAAAGAAAAGGAGATGCGCTTCACACGCGCTTGAGGACAGTAGGGAAGTCACCGAAGCGTAACTTAAAAAATAATTGGACTGTGAATACACGCTTTCGGAAGGCAATGATTTCTTTGTTGTGCTGCTGGTTGTTTGGGGTTGCATCAGGGCGAGATCCTCGCACGGCTGCTCAAATGATCCTAATCAATGGATCAACTTATGGTTCAGAATCATCTACAACACCCGTCGTCGCTTTACATTTTAATTTTGGCATAATACTTTCGTAAATAAGAAAATAATAATAAAAATACGAATATACGAGTGTGTTAAAATCTAGGGTAAACTAAACATTTAGTATATATACTATTACTTTTGTTTTATTTTGACGCCATAACTTTATTTTTTTTAAATTATACCTAACATTTAATTTAAGTTTTAATTTGATGCATCGTCATTAAAAATTAACAAAACCGTTGACGTTACATTTTTTTTAATGATGACGTTACATTATCTTATGGTAATATTTCCACGTCATCTTTAAGTTTTTAACGATACCAAAATAAAATCTAAACTAAACATTAGATATAATTTTAAAACAAAATAAAATTAGATACCAAAACAGAACAAAATAATAGTTTATGTACTAAACGTATAGTTTACCCTAAAATCTATATAATACGAATTATTAATCTGTCAAAACTTATATAATTTTATAATCGGTTATAATAATAATATATATATATATGAACATAACATTGATGCATGAATTGCCATGTCTTGACCTCTTTCCTAAACGAGAATAAGCAAATAAAAAGAAAAGAAAAGAAGAAACACCAATGGTTTCTTATGATATATGAATCACCTGTCAGTCCCCTTTATTCTACTGAAAATGTTATAATCAGCAACATCCAGGCATCTTTCTTTCAGATCTAATACCAATGATTCACCATGTCGAGAACGGTTTCCGGATCTTCTATGATTTGACCTCATCATCCTGCAAAACTCATGTCAAGGGTAAGTAGGAGCTTCGCACATATCGACGCATCGATGTCGGAATTGGTTTAAACGGAACTGAAACACAAGGAAGCCGATATGTACAAGCATAAACCATTAAAAGCATTTATTTGAAAGATTGCAAAGCTTATAGCGAAAGTTTGTTGGAGTTTTGAGCATATCGACACATCAAAACCGGAATTAGTTCGAACAAAACTTTAAAGCAAGGAAGCCAAATACGTGCTGCTTTATGCATGCATCCAAGAGGACACTGATAAACCATAACTAGCATACATAATCCCTTACAAAAGGTGAAATCATAAATTCGGGTCATATTCATCTAAGAAGCCTGCATTACATATATATGTATATATATTGTTTACTTATTTATCACTTTCAAATGGTAAAATGATTCTGTTTAAATTGATAACGGGAAGCCATCAAACCAATAAGCTATAACAATGCAGAAATCACATTGCATTGTGTTGGATATGAAGTCACTTATGTAACCCCCTCAGACCGATGCGGATAACCCGATCCGATCTGGAGTGTCACATTAGGGCCACCGGAGCGACCCACTGTAAAAATAGCAGGAAATTTAAAACTTTTCTTAAAACATGTAAAATCATAAATGATTTATTATTATTCAGAAATAAAATATGTTTTTCAAACTCAAATATAAAACAAAATACAATCCACATGCCCCCTAATCACATGTACCATACTCTGCAAGCAACGCCGGAAGAACTCCCTTACTGATGTTGATAGATGTACTCGTACAATTCTTTTAACCTGCAATGGTGAGTAATAGAGTGAGCTTCGGAAAGCTCAGTAATACAGAACTACCAGATGATGCTACATGTCATGTAGATAAATGGGAAGCCATAATTTCCTTATTGAATCAAACTTATACCAATTGCGGAATAATCTGGGGTTCCATTAGTAGTTCATCGGGTAGAAGCCATGAATCTCAGTTCATAAAAACCTTTCATACTATCACGTTTTCATGAGGTCGAATATGATGTCTAGTGTGTTCCATCAGTACGATAAAATCATAATAGGTACACTAATCAAATGATAGTTCAGTAAAATCCCATAAACCATACTGTAGTGGAGCTTTTTAAACTCGTATTTTAAAACCATCTGACAAAGAGTTAACCTAAGGGAACATCTTAGGGCCTGAGAGCCTACCCAAGATAGATTTCGGGGTCGTAGGGCCTACCTAAGAACATATCTTAGGGCCGCAGGGCCTACCCGAGAATGATCTCAGGGCCGCAGAGCCTACCTAAGAGTCACATTAGGTCCATAAAAATTTTCCAGCTTGATCAGAGCTGTACTTTACAAATATGTATCTCCAAGATACAGTTTATACAATGATACAAATCCATAAGCCATCACCGTTAAGTCGGTGCATCCATAAAACAGTAACCATAGATTTCAGTGTACCACATGTTAAAATAATAAAACAAATTTTCAAAATATAAGGAACACACTAAAGAATCCAATTATTTTTCAGATGCATTTTGTAGCTATCAATATGGATAACATGAACTTGTGCAATTTGATCGGATCCCAATAATAAGATCTTATTGAAGATAATCGATTTCTAACTGATCTAATCAGACATTTCAGATTGATACTCTTAGAATTCCACTAAGTTTCTATATGCATCAAGAAAACGTTCAGGAACCTTTATACATAATAATTCTAAATTCAAATTTACTGCGAGTGATTCCATTACCCAAACAATCAGGGGTATCAAGAATATACTTTGAATTCATAAGATTTCAGCCCAATTGAACCAAATGAGGGTATTCAGAATCTTTTCCATATGCGTTACTTGTGTTTTCAAACATGACCGAAGTGATTTTAGATGAAAATATAGAATCGAAGATTCAAGTCATTTACAATCTATGACTATCGATCGTATTATCAAACAACTCGAGTTACACAACTCCCAAACTGATGCATGTCAACAAGTCAATTCATTATCCTTCCATTGTATTCACTCTTTAATACCATAATGTAGATCCATAGATCATCCCCATAATCATCATTGAATAGATCTTCCAACGGTCTTTATTTCATTTCCACGTTTCAACGATATCATGAAATACATACGTACTTGATTCATGGTACAACCCATAAGGACAATTCATCATGTAAGTTCAACAGTGTTTCCAAACTCATCCAATCACCTATTTAATCTTCAGTCATTGAGGTTACTTAGTTCGTTTAGTAAGCAAGTCTATCCCGGTTACTTTAGAGTTTTCTAGAATAATTCAGACGTTTCTGAATTTCAAATACATGTTGTACTTCTTTTCAGTTCAATTTAGTCATATAATAAAGTCATTCTGGTATTCATGGTTGATTTGTCCCACGAATATCCACTTCTTTGTACCGAATGAGTTCTAGAGTTGATCTGAGCAAAGTACTTCCATAATTCTCATCTATCTAGACTTGAGAAGACGAACACACATTCAAGTGATATCTATGCCATTCAGGTATATATATAGCATTAGGGTTGATCAACTCACTTAAGTTGTGTTCCATAACTTTTAGGGGTAGTACAACACCTATGTTTATTTGGATTTCTTATTTAATCCAAAACATTTACATAGTCTTATCAATAAGGGCATTTTAGTCATTTTGGTGATCAATGTTTTTTTTCTATTCATTTCAAAGCTTGATTATATTCATTCATTCCTGAGCTTGGTGACATTCTTGAGTCATTTTCATTCCAAGGGTATTTTGGTCATTTTTATATATCCAATGTATTTCAATCATTTCATTCGGTTCGATCTTATTATTTAATTTAATCTTATCACTTCAGTCATTTCAAACAATTCTGACCAAAAAGCACCCTCTATAAACCATTCTTCAAGTATTTACTCAATTCGATAATTTCTAGGTTAAATGTCTTTTCAAATGTTACTAAAAAATTTTCAAAAATTTTCCATACAAAGGTAGGATCTCAACAATCAAATATGTAATTTATCGGTTTAAAAACAAATTCTCAGGTTACTATCTCATTTAGAGTCAACTTGGACTATTTTCACTACTCAAGGGCATTTTTATAATTTCGCACTCAGATACTTTTGGTATTAACTCTTAACGAAAATAAATATAGTTTAGAGATCCTATGCTTAATTGATTACCTGAACATTCTCGGATCTTGAAATGATTACTTAACAAACTTCTAATATCTTGCATAAACCCTCTTGGGGTTAAAAACCGATTATCCAAATTTTCCAACATAACTAGCATTTCTTATGCACATTTGTAGTTTTATCAGATCAATATGTCTTTTCAGAATTATTAATCAACTTCCAGGGATAATTCTTGTCATCCTACAACATAAGGGTATTTTTGTAATTTTACCCTACCAGAGTATTCTCATAATTTCCCATCCAAGTACCTTTAACATTTAACCTTTGATGATATAAAATATAAGTTATAAATCCATGACTGATTTCTTTATCACTAATCTCAAACTTGTAATTTAATTCTAACAATTCCTCAATCTCTTATATCAGTCATTCGATCCGTATTCAGTTACAGAATTTCCACCACATTCATATCGAGTGTATAAATCATTCAACTCCACTAAAGTGACCAACATGATCTTATTCATGCATTTACCAATATCAACATATTTAATAAAGCATAAAGAGGTAGTAAATTATTACCTAGATTTTCCGTGTCATATCGATCGACCAGTTAAATTCCATTTGAATGCCCTCGATCTTTAATTTAACTTCCAATATTTTCCTCACGATCCAGGCCATCAAAAATTATTAACTCGTATCCAAATAATTTCCATCGCCATAAAAATAACTTATTAGAATCTAAATAATAATTTGTAAACCCAATTTGCATAAGTAAAAACTTGAAGAGTCAGTAATATTTAATTACTAACATCATGGACTAAATTGATCTTATTTAAACCATTATTCCATAATCATAATAATATTGAAGCTAAAAGACAAGGTAAAGTTTTTACCTAACTTGGATAATCATCTTGTAATTCACCCCTTTTTGCATTTTATCAACTAAAACCACGTGATTTGATCCTTCTTCACTTCAAATTTTCTTTTTTTTTTTTCATTTTCTGTAGCCGTCTCCACCGAATCTTTGTAGATGACCAAAGAAATTTCACCGGTCGGTAGTCGAACCCGACGACTAACACATCGGGTCTTCGTCTACGACCATCGTTCGAAAACAAAATTAATATCATCAAACGAATTCCAGCAAATGCAAGCGAGAAACGATATAAGGTCCAGTTGGGTACTGTTCAAGCTCCACCTTTGGGTTGAGAATTTCAGTTGTTGTTTGCTTTAGTAGAATTGAAAGATGATGAGGCCATTGGCAAGCCTGGTTACGAAAAGAGGAAGATAAACTCTGTTTTCCATATCTCTTCCCCTGCCTTTGCTTTCAATGATCGGTGCAGATTACACAAAGGGACCCTCTGGATTGGATCATTTGTTAATTATTGCTAGAGATTTGGATGTATTCATATGGTCTTCTTGTATCCTGATTTACAAATGAATATTATAAAAAAATCTCATCAATTTATGGTTCCAAACATTTTGAATAAAATAATATGGTTAACATCAATCAACTATGGATAGAACTCACGTGAATTCTAGAATGTTTTACACCCCATATTAAATAAAAAACTTATCCCACCAATTGAGGTGTGACAATTCTCCCCTCCTTAAAAGAATTTCGTCCTCGAAATTCATTCATGTCACATAATTGCATAAATGAAACTTCCATTAATTCTTCCATATCTTCAAGTAGCTTTTACAAAAGTGCAGATCATCTACTAATCCTTAACCCGTTGAGTATACTTTCTTATCAGAACTTTTCCTCATTTCAAAAAAAGAATCCGAACGAAAATTTCCTTCAGTAATCAATTCTGTATTTGTCATGAGAATAGGCTCATAGAGCAGTAGCATACCCCAATTTCATTTCTAGATTTGGATCGGAATTTCTCAGATAAGTAACTCTCACAAGTCTCGTGAGGTACTTTACAGAACTGAGATAGACGTTACTGATATTCCTTTATGTAAAGGTAGAGCCTTAATGGATAAAAACTTAGGTTTGCTCGTTACAGAGAGGGATTCAACCTTGGAATTCTGGCTCAGAGAAGTACGACTATAGTTTAGGGCATGTACTGATCAGACACCTTTTGACATTCGACCGGCCGGTCTATCTTGAAAAATTTTGACTCAAACCATAGCTCTGATACCACTAAATGTAACCCCCTCAAACCGATGCGGATAACTCGATCCGATCTGGAGTGTCACATTAGGGCCACCAGAGCGACTCACTGTAAAAATAGCAAAAAATTTAAAACTTTTCTTAAAACACGTAAAATCATAAATGATTTATTATTATTCAGAAATAAAATAGGTTTTTCAAACTCAAATATAAAACAAAATACAATCCACATGCCCCCTAATCACATGTACCATACTCTGCAAGCAACGTCGGAAGAACTCCCTTACTGATGTTGATAGTTGTACTTGTACAATTCTTTTAACCTGCAATGGTGAGTAATAGAGTGAGCTTCGGAAAACTCAGTAATACAGAACTACCAAATGATGATGCATGTCATGTAGATAAATGGGAAGCCATAATTTCCTTATTGAATCAAACGTATACCAATTGCGGAATAATCTGGGGTTCCATTAGTAGTTCATCGGGTAGAAGCCATGAATCTCAGTTCATAAAAACCTTTCATACTATCACGTTTTCATGAGGTCGAATAGGATGTCTAATGTGTTCCATTAGTACGATAAAATCATAATAGGTACACTAATCAAATGATAGTTCAATAAAATCCCATAAACCATACTGTAGTGGAGCTTTTTAAACTCGTATTTTAAAACCATCTTACAAAGAGTTAACCTAAGGGAACATATTAGGGCCTGAGAGCCTACCCAAGATAGATTTTGGGGTCGTGGGGCTTATTTAAGAACACATCTTAGGGCCGTAAGGCCTACCCGAGAATGATCTCAGGGCCGTAGAGCTTACCTAAGAGTCACATTAGGTTCATAAAAATTTTCCAGCTTGATCAGAGCTGTACTTTACAAATCTGTATCTCCAAGATACAGTTTATACAATGATACAAATCTATAAGCCATCACCGTTAAGTCGGTTCATCCATAAAATAGTAACCATAGATTTCAGTGTACCACATGTTAAAACAATAAAACAATTTTTCAAAATATAAGGAACATACTAGAGAATCCAAATATTTTTCAGATGCATTTTGTAGTTATCAATATGGATAACATGAACTTGTGCAATTTGATCGGATCCCAATAATAAGATCTTATTGAAGAGAATTGATTTCTAACCGATCTAATCAGACATTTTAGATTGATACTTTTAGAATTCCACTAAGTTTCTATATGCATCAGGAAAACGTTCAGGAACCTTTATACATAATAATTCTAAATTCAAATTTACTGCGAGTGATTCCATTACCCAAACAATCAGGGGTATCAGGAATATATACTTTGAATTCATAAGATTTCAGCCCAATTGAACCAAATGAGGTATTCAGAATCTTTTCCATCTGCGTTACTTGCGATTTCAAACATGATCGAAGTGATTTTAGATGAAAATATAGAATCGAAGATTTAAGTCATTTACAATCTATGACTATCGATCGTATTATCAAACAACTCGAGTTACACAACTCCCAAACTGATGCATATCAACAAGTCAATTCATTATCCTTCCATTGTATTCACTATTTAATACCATAATGTAGATCCATAGATCATCCCCATAATCATCACTGAATAGATCTTTCAACAGTCTTTATTTCATTTCCACGTTTCAACGATATCATATTAAATACAGCCGTACTTGATTCATGGTACAACCCATAAGGACAATTCATAATGTAAGTTCAACAGTGTTTCCAAACTCATCCAATCACCTATTTAATCTTCAGTCATTGAGGTTACTTAGTTCGTTTAGTAAGCAAGTCTATCCTGTTTACTTTAGAGTTTTCTAGAATAATTCAGACGTTTCTGAATTTCAAATACATGTTGTACTTCTTTTCAGTTCAATTTAGCCATATAATAAAGTCATTCTGGTATTCGTGGTTGATTTGTCCCACGAATATCCACTTCTTTGTACCGAATGAGTTCTAGAGTTGATATGAGCAAAATACTTCCAGAATTATCATCTATCCAAACTTGAGAAGATGAACACACATTCAAGTGATATCTATGCCATTTAGGTATATACATAGCATTAGGGTTGATCAACTCACTTAAGTTGTGTTCCATAAATTTTAGGGGTAGTACAACACATATGTTTATTTGGATTTCTTATTTAATCCAAAACATTTACATAGTCTTGTCAATAATGGCATTTTAGTCATTTTGATGATCAATGTTTTTTTTTCTATTCATTTCAAAGCTTGATTATATTCATTCATTCCTAAGCTTGGTGACATTCTTGAGTCATTTTCATTCTAGGGGTATTTTGGTCATTTTATATATATCCAATGTATTTCAATCATTTCATTCGGTTCGATCTTATTATTTAATTTAATATTATCACTTACTTCAGTCATTTCAAACAATTATGACCAAAAAGCACCCTCTATAAACCATTCTTCAGGTATTTACTCAATTCGATCATTCTTCAGGTATTTACTCAATTCGACAATTTCCAGGTTAAATGTCTTTTCAAATGTTACTAACAAATTTTCAGAAATTTTCCATACAAAGGTAGGATCTCAACAATCAAATCAGTAATTTATCGGTTTAAAAACAAATTCTCAGGTTACTCTCTCATTCAGCGTCAACTTGGACTATTTTCACTACTCAAGGGCATTTTCATAATTTCGCACTCAGAACTTTTGGTATTAACTCTTAACGAAAATAAATATAGTTTAGAGATCCTATGCTTAATTGATTACCCGAACATTCTCGGATCTTGAAATGATTCATTAACAAACTTCTAATATCTTGCATAAACCCTCTTGGGGTTAAAAACCGATTGTTCAAATTTTCCAACATAACTAGCATTTCCTATGCACATTTGTAGTTTTATCAGATCAATATGTCTTTTCAGAATTATTAATCAACTTCCAGGGATACTTTTTGTCATCCTACAACATAAGGGTATTTTTGTAATTTTACCCTACCAGAGTATTCTCATAATTTCTCATCCAAGTACCTTTAACATTTAACCTTTGATGATATAAAATATAAGTTATAATTCTATGACTGATTTCTTTATCACTAATCACAAACTTGTAATTTAATTCTAACAATTCCTCAATCTCTTATATCAATCATTCGATCCGTATTCAGTTACAGAATTTCCACCACATTCATATCGAGTATATAAATCATTCAACTCCACTAAAGTGACCAACATTATCTTATTCATGCATTTACCAATATCAACATATTTCATAAAGCATAAAGAGGTAGTAAAGTATTACCTAGATTTTCCGTGCCATATCGATCGACCACTTAAATTCCATTTGAACGCCATCAATCTTTAATTTAACTTCCAATATTTTCCTTACGATCCAGGCCATCAAAAATTATTAACTCGTATCCAAATAATTTTCCTCGCCATAAAAATAACTTATTAGAATCTAAATAATAATTTGGAAACCCAATTTGCATAAGTAAAAACTTGAAGAGTCAGTAATATTTAATTACTAACATCATGGACTAAATTGATCTTATTTAAACCATTATTCCATAATCATAATAATATTGAAGCTAAAAGACAAGGTAAAGTTTTTACCTAACTTGGATAACTCATCTTGTAATTCACCCCTTTTTTCATTTTTATCAACTAAAACCCACGTTATTTGCTCCTTCACTTCAATTTTTTTTTTTTTTTCATTTTCTGTAGCCATCTCCACCGAATCTTTGTAGATGACCAAAGAAATTTTACCGGCCGGTAGTCGAACCCGGTGACTAACACATCGCGTCGTCGTCTACGACCATCATTCGAAAACAAAATACACCATCGAAATCACCTTGTATTAATATCATCAAACGAATTCTCAGCAGTGTAATGCAAGCGAGAAACAATATGAGGTCCAGTTGGGTATTGTTCGAGCTCCACCTTTGGGTTTGAGAATTGTTGAAGATCGCCCAAGAGACTTTCTAGTTGTTTGAGCTTCATTTGGTTTTGCTTTAGTAGAATCGAAAGATGATGAGGCCATTGGCAAGCCTGGTTGCGAAAAGAGGAAGATAAACTCTGTTTTCCATATCTCTTCCCCTGCCTTTGCTTTCAATGATCGGTGCAGATTACACAAAGGGACCCTCTGGATTGGATCATTTGTTAATTATTGCTAGAGCTTTGGATGTATTCATATGATCTTCTTGTATCCTGATTTACAAAATGAATATTATAAAAAAATCTCATCAATTTGTGGTTCCAAACACTTTGAATAAAATAATATGGTTAACATTAATCAATTATGGATAGAATTCACGTGAATTCTAGAATGCTTTACACCCCACGTTGAATAAAAAACTCCACTCTATCACAAGCAATCAGGAAGAGATACGAAACAACAAGATCAAGTTCATAAACGGAACTGTGCTTACCGAACTGTCAGCCATTTTACCAAAAGCATCATCAAAGCCCTCATCTTCATCCTCTGAAGCGCCAAACAGATGATTAGCACGTTTAATCAAAAGCAATTCACATACAAAAAAATGATCAGGAAGTGTTGTTTTTCATTTGCAGCGATTTTTAGGTATATCAACGATCTTTTCAGTAAAAACAGTTATGCAAGACTCTAATACGGGAAAAACATAAGGGCAATTGACAAACCAACTTAATGTTTCAAGAAAGAGAAAGGAACAAAGAAAGAACAATCCGTACCAGGGCCTTCATCACTGTCACCACCCAGAAGAAACACATCCAGGTCTTGCTCAGAAACTGAGGTCGAACTTTTACCGTGCTGCTTTGTTCCCTTTGCCTGTGGTTCAGATGTCATTTCAATGTTTAAAGATTCCTTCACTTTTTTATCGACAACTTTTTCTTAAGCTTTTCGCTCAACCTCTTCCATATACTGCTTCTCGTACCTATACGGAATCATATGTTCTTTGAGTTTACTGTAACAAAACAATGTTGAGTAGAACATAAGCAAATGCACATTACATTAGGGAAATCTCTAAAATGTACTACCTTCAGATCCAGATGACATGTAGAATTACAAAAATAATTACCTCTGGCAAACGTGTGTTTTAATGAACTTGAAGAGTCAATCGAAAAGAAATCAATAATACTATTAAAAAACTACGTTTTGAAGGCCAAACTTTTCTTTGCAGGAATCATAAAGTTGAAACTTCTTATTTTAGGTTAGAAAGTTTTATGAATTCTTAAAACACATCAAATAAAGGAGAAGTGCATGGAAGCAATCATATTCTGAACTACCTACATTTTGGTAGAAGCTCATTTTAAACAAATTTGAGACAGAAGTGTGTAAATTCGGTAAAAGAAAAAATCGAGACTTAACATGCAAAGACAGATACTTACAGTGCAATATGACTGTTTACCAGTATAAAGTATATCCTCCAGAATTTCCTCTCTCTCATAACACGCGGGCACAACTCGAATCTTAACTTTGATATTTCCTGGAACAATGAGTTGATGTGAATATGCTCATGCGTTTATGATTATGCTTACCAAACTAATGATACAAAGTTTAACTTCATAGTTTATACAAAATAATTACACACTAGACTGGTCATTTTTCCCATGAAGACTTCGGATAGAAATTCTGTTTAAAATCAACGTAAAAAGATAGCATCCCAGTATACTACATGCAATTCAAATATAACTGAATGTTTTAATCCAAACAAAAGACCAAATATCCAAAAAAAGATGGAAACAGAAGATCATATAATCTTTCAGTAATCAAGTTCAACGTAAACCACTTTAAATATGGATCACTGAAAAAAATAACAGTGAATTTTTTTCATTTTTAACTAGATGCAAGAGGACTGAGTTTTCTAATCTTATTATTGGATGGTACTTTTCAATATCTCGCAGGCTCTTTTCTCAACGATTCTAGAATTTTGTAACTACCATTCTTCTATTATTATATTTCATAAAATTGGAAGATATGTATGGGGCAATTTAGAAACTTTTTGGGTTCATTGGATCACACAAAACTAAATAGATAAACACAACTGAGTGGAAGAAAAGTAATGCAAGTGCAATTGTATGCAGTTTTTGTAGTTCTTGAAGATAGTATTTTCGAAGTTATTTGCATATGGATTCACTTAATATTTTAATCATTCGAAGTATAATTTACAATCTTAGAGCCTTTAAAATGAATTTACGTACATACTAAATGAATAGGACAGCCTGTTTACTCATAAAGATCAGAAATGTGTTAGGAATTAAGCATGTCGTAAACATATATGTACCTTATGTAACATCCCAAAATACGGGTTAGTAATTAACTTATAAAACTTCAGAGTTTGGTGACCGAAGTAGGATATTTGAATAGTTTAATGATTTGTTCAGAAATATTTCCTGAAAGTTATTAGTAATTATCAAAAGAATCAAAGGGTAAAATGGTCATTTAGCATGAAAGATATTTTTCTCCAATAATATGAATAAATCACGTGGAGGTGGGGGAAAAAGTTATCTGAAAACTCTTTCTTCTTCCTTTCTTCTTCTCCCAACCGTGGAAGCTAGGCAAAGGTAAGTGTTTTCTGAGTTGTTGATTATTTGTTAAATTAAAGGTTAGGTTTTGATCGTTAGATGATAATTAAGCTTAAGGAAAACTTAAGTTGTCTTATAATCAAAAGATGAAGAAGTTATAAGAGATTTAAGAAAACGAGTTTTTATATGAAATCATGGAAAAGAGTTGATAAGTTGAATTTGAAGTTAAATTTGACTTGTTATCATGATAATTAAGGAATATGAAGTGTTAGAATTGTATTTAGAACATATTGAAATTTGAGTATGATTCTTGAATTACATATGAGGGATAGAATTTTTAAGTTATAGATGATTTTCATGGATATAAGTTGGTTTAAGTAATGGTAGTTGAGTTTAATGATATGATAGGGGTTTAAAATAGAAGAATTAAGTGAAGAATTGATGATTTTCGGGCTTAAAGTACAATTTCTAGGCAGATGGAACCGATACCTATGAAGGGGGAATCGATTCCCCTTCTTGAACGAAAAATTTCTAGTATGTTCAGGGGGTATCGATTCCCCCTAAAGGAAAAATGAAATTTGGTTCAATAATCTGGCTTAAGTTGTTAACATCAAGGTTAAGGTTTAGGCTACTGATAGTTGTTTTGAAATGTTATATTTATGTAGATATTAAGCCTAAACAAGTTCTGGAATAATCAAAGGATTAAAATTGATTCAAATCAAACAAGGCTAAGGTGAGTGCAATTTTAAATGTACTTATATTATTGAACGAACATTGGCTTGCGATGAGTCAGTGATGGAGTTACTATGGTAAGAAGTGACTCCTAAAATGTTATTTGATTGGTGATTCTTATATGTGCATGAATACATGAAATGAGTATAGGTTATTATATATGTTACATAATATGCATATGTGATATATGTTATGAGACATGACCAATGTGAAATGAGATAAGCTATATGACTATATGAAATTATATATGAATATGTAATACGTGATACATGTGATATGATATGAAATGACATATGAATATGTAATACGTGATACATGTGATATGATATGAAATACATGGTTACACATACATGTGGTATGTGATAGAAGAGAAAGAACAAGTGATGAGAAATGTATTCATAATAAATGCTCATAGTATATGATACGAGAGTTATAGGTATAGTTGGCATGCCAAGAGTCGAGGGTTACATATGTCCTATAAGACATATGATAGGTCCTACGGGACACAGATTACATCCTTCGGGATGACAGGTCCTTCGGGACACAGATGACATCCTTCGGGATGATAGGTCCTTCGGGACATTTGTACGAGTTGTGGTGACAGCATATGTGTGCACAACCTCAGTGTCCTCGCATACCTTTATTCTCAATAATATACATGGGGCAATACAATTGCAAGATAAATTAAAGTGAAAGTGATACAAGAAGGTAAGTTTCACATGTGCATGACATGATTTATATATATGTCATATTGAAATATATACATGCATATTGAAATGTTATGATTAAATGGTAAGAATGCATATTCATGAAATTATTGTTACATGTTTATTTATTGCCTCACTAAGTCTATGACTTAGCGTGTAAGTGATTTACACGTAGGTACCAAGAAACGAGAATAGCAAGAATAGAAGTGCCAATGACAATATTATTACTAGAAGATCAGATTAGAAGTAATCGACAAAGTATGTATTTTGGTGTGTATAGAGTGTTGGCATGTAATAAGTTGTTAATTACGAGTACTCTGATGAAGTTTGTATTTTGTGGTCATTTTTATGTAAATTAACGTATTTTGCTTTAAACAAAGTTTTAAATTTCTCTATTTTTCAAAAGAGTCAAAGTTTGAAAAGTCAATGTGACACCTCGGACTTGTATTCGGGTCGGGTACGGGTTGGGGTGTTACAGTGAATGGCATCAGAGCTAAGGTTTAGTCGATTCTTGGCATAAACTGGAGTCTAGAGTGCTTTATAAGGTATACATGCCAAAAAAATAGTGAAAACTTCTGATCTGATGGAATAGTATGTATATTGTTGTGCTAATAGAACTATATGATTGTATTTTTTATAGATGTCCGAACAAGGTAGTTCTAGAAATGAAGTGGGAGATGAAATACCCGCTGAAAGCAGTAATTCACCTGCCCTGGCCAGGCATAGTGAAGAACAGACACCCTCTGGAGTTCCTGTGAATGATCAAGATGTATTCTTTAGAACTTTAGACGCGGTATTGACGCGTTTTCAACCTCCTGTTTTCTCAACTCAAAGAATAAATATTGCGAAAGAGTTGAAAGGGCTAGGAGCTCCTGAATTCAAAGGTGAAGCCGAGGAAGATCATGTTGCTACAGACCTTTGGCTCAATGATGTGAAGATTATGTTAAATGGACTCCATTGTTCTGATTTGGAGAAGTTAGATGGAGTGGTCTCTTTGCTTCGTGGACAAGCAAGAATCTGGTGGACAAATGTTACCTTGAGGATGACCAGTGATCAAGTGACATGATCCTTGTTTTTAGAAGAGTTTAAGCACAAGTATATTGGAGATCAGTTCATAAGGCAAATGAAGCAAGAGTTTATGAGTATGAAACAGTTGAATCGCACTGTATATGAATATGAGTGTGAGTTTAATAAGTTGATTCATTTTGCTGCTAAACTGATTCCAACAGAAAAAGATACTTGTGAATGGTTTGTTGAAGGCTTGCGCCCGAGGTTGAACGAAATGTTGATCATATTGAACTTGTCCTCGTTCCAAGAGGTTGTCAATCGTGCTAAAGCTTTAGAGATAGCTTAGAATGAAAGATTTGGGGATCAGATAGCCCAACCGTTTAAAAGAACTGGGGCTTCATCAAGTTTTACACCACCTAAGAGAGGTAGAGATTCTGGTTTTCGTTCTCAGGCGAGGTCTGAATCAATGGCATCTTCCACTAGAGGATCAAATCAAATGAGAGCTAGACAAACTCAGTCAATATGGCCTAGTACTGGGAGAGCAAATCCGGGTCAAAAAAGACAATGTCAGACTTGAGGAAGATATCATAGTGGTATATGTAGAGTAAGAGTCGGAGCTTGTTTCCGATGTGGGGAAACGGGACATTTCATGAGAGATTGTCTAGTGAGGTCCGTAGAGCCTCACAGTCGGAGCGATCTGTTTCGATGTCTCAGAGAGGAAGGGGTAGAGGTAGAGGAAGAAGTCAGCCTGAATCTTCTACTCAAAAAGAGGGGCGCTCTGTTGCTCGGGTGTATAACCTCAAGACCAATGAAGAATGTGATGATCCTGAGATAATTGCATGTACCTTTCAACTGTATGATAAATGTGTTATGATATTGATTTATCCGGGGTCAACATATTCATATATTTGTAGTAAATTGGTGAGTGAACTGGGAATTCAATTAGAAGCCATTAGTAATGATGTGATAGTAACAAATCCATTAGGGCATAGTGCTCGGGTAAATAGAGTGTCATGGGTGTCCCATAAAGATTCAAGGAATCGAATTCCCTGCTAATATGATGGAATTACCCTTTGACGAATTCGAAGTGATACTGGGAATGGACTGGCTATATCGTTATTATGCTAATGTTGACTGTAGACTGAAGAGGGTAACATTAATCAGTCCTAACGGAGTGGATGTTATAGTGTTCAGTGAAGGATGAAATCCATTGGCAAATGTAATTTCAGTAATGTCGGCAAAGAAGTTACTGCTACAGGGATTTCAAGGGTTCATTGCTAATGTGCGGGATATTAGAACCGAGGAAAAAGGGATTGAAGAAATTCCTATCGTCAAAGAATTTTCTGACGTATTTCTTGCAGAGTTACCAGGTCTGCCTCCAGACAGAGAAGTGGAATTCCAAATTGAAATAATGCCAAGAACTGCATCTATTGCCACGTCACCATACAAAATGGCTCCAAAAGAGTTGCAAGAATTAAAGATTCAATTACAAGAATTGTTGGACAAAGGTTTTATTAGACCAAGTGTATCACCTTGGGGAGCTCCAGTTTTTTTTGTTAAGAAAAAGGACGGTTCAATGCGTCTCTGCATTGACTACAGACAGCTCAATAAAGTGACTATCAAGAATAAATATCCACTTCCTCGAATCGATGACTTATTTGATCAATTAAAGGGAGCTTCAATGTTCTCAAAAATCGATCTACGTTCGGGTTATCATCAATTAAAGATTTAAGAGAAAGATGTTCCAAAGACGGCGTTTGGAACAAGATATGGTCACTATGAGTTTATAGTGATGCCGTTTGGAGTTACGAATGCACCAACTGCTTTCATGGATCTAATGAACATAATTTTTCAACCCTATTTAGATCAGTTCGTGGTGGTTTTCATTGATGATATTTTAATACATTTAAAGTCAGAGGAAGAGCATAGTTCTCATTTGAGGATTGTCTTGCAGAATTTACGAGACAAGAAGCTTTATGCTAAATTCTCTAAATGTGAATTTTGGTTGAATGAAGTGACATTCCTTGGACATATAATTTTTGCAGAAGGAGTTAGAGTGGATCCTCAAAAGATTAAAGCTATTATGGAGTGGGAAGTTCCAAAGAATGTGTCAGAAGTTCGAAGTTTTCTGGGGTTTGCTGGTTATTATCGAAGGATCGTTAAAAACTTTTCGATCATAGCATTACCCCTAACTAAACTATTGAAAAAGGAAGTAAAATTTGTTGGACTCAAGAATGTCAATAGAGCTTTGAAAAGTTAAAGAAGATTCTTACAGAAGCTCCAGTGTTACTTCAACCTGAGTCTGGCAAGGATTTTGTAGTGTATAGTGATGCGTCTCATAATGGCTTGGGATGTGTGTTAATGCAAGAAGGCAAGGTGGTGGCTTATGCTTCGAGACAATTAAAGCCGCATGAGAAGAATTATCCGACACACGATCTAGTGATGGTTGTAGTAGTGTTTGCTCTTAAGATCTGGCGTCACTACTTGTATTGTGAAAAATGCTACTTGTATACATATCACAAGAGTTTAAAGTACTTGATGACCCAGAAAGAGTTGAATTTAAGACTGAGAAGATGGGTGGAATTTATCAAAGATTATGATGTTGTGATTGATTTCTATCCTGGAAAGGCAAACGTGGTAGCGGATGCCTTAAGCCGAAAGACGTTTGCAACCTTACGAGCTATGGATGCTAAACTATCATTAGGCAGAGATGGTGCGATTTGTGCGGAATTAACTATCAAACCATTATGGTTAGATCGAATTAAAGAATTTCAAGCTAAAGATGAAAAGTGTTCAATGAAGTTGCAGCAAATAAAGAATGGAGAGTGTACATATTGTGAGATGAAAACTGATGGGAACCTATATTATCAAGGGAATCTAGTGATTCCAGATGATAATGAATTAAAGAATGATTTATTAATGGAAGCTCACTGTAGTCCATTAACAATGTACCCAGGAGGAAACAAAATGTATATGGATCTCAAGAGTCGATATTGGTGGCTGGGAATGAAGAAAGACATTACAGAATTTGTATCAAAATGTTTGATTTGTCAGCAAGTTAAGGCTGAGCATCAGGTTCCGTCAGGACTGTTACAATCAATTTTAATTCCTCAATGAAAATGGGATAATGTAACAATGGATTTTGTGACGGGGTTGCCTTTAACTTCGAACAAAAGAGATTCAATATGGGTGATTGTAGACAGGTTAACTAAGTCAGCCAATTTTATTCCGGTACGAACTGATTTCTCTATAGATAAATATGCTGAGCTGTATATCAGAGAGATTATACGGTTACATGGTGTACCTGTTTCCATAGTTTCTGATTGGGATCCTAGATTCACATCACGATTTTGGAAGTCTTTACATGGAGCATTGGGCACAAGACTAAATTTTAGCACAGCGTTTCATCTTCAGACAGATGGTCAGTCTGAACGAACTATCCAAATTATGGAGGATATGTTAAGAGCTTGTGTTATCGAATTTAAGGAATCGTGGGAAAAATATTTGCCACTTGCTGAATTTGCATACAATAATAGTTATCAGTCAAGCATCAAAATGGCTCCCTATGAAGCTTTATATGGGAGAATATGTCGTACACCCTTGAATTGGTATGAACTTAAGGATCGAGAAGTTATTGGTCCTGAGTTGATTCAGGAAATGGAAGAGAAATTCCAAGTAATTCAAAATAATATGAAAGCTGCAGGTGATAGACAAAAATTATATGCTGATTTAAAAAGGAAAGAAATTGAGTTTCAAATCAGAGATAAAGTATTCTTGAAAGTGTCTCCTTGGAAGAAAGTATTGAGATTTGGACATAAAGGAAAATTGAGTCTTCGGTTTATTGAACCATATGAAATTATTAAGAGAGTGGGACCAGTGGCATATCAATTAGCTTTGCCACCTGGAATGGAGAAAATTCATAACGTCTTTCATGTCTCAATGCTTAGGAAATATCGATCCGATCCATCTCATATTGTGACTACCGAAAAGATCGAGGTTCAACCAGATTTGACTTATGAGGAAGAACCTGTTCAAATATTGGCTCACGAAGTCAAGAAATTAAGGAACAAGACTATTCTATTAGTTAAAGTGTTGTGGAGAAATCACAAGGTGGAAGAAGCGACGTGGGAACGTGAAGATGACATGAAGATTCAATATCCCCATCTCTTTGTATAATGAAAATTCGAGGATGAATTTTTTAGGGGGGGAGATTTGTAACATCCCAAAATACGGGTTAATGATTAACTTATAAAACTTCAGAGTTTGGTGACCGAAGTAGGATATTTGAATAGTTTAATGATTTGTTCAGAAATATTTCCTGAAAGTTATTAGTAATTATCAAAAGAATTAAAGGGCAAAATGGTCATTTAGCATGAAAGATATTTTTCCCCAATAATATGAATAAATCACGTGGAGTTGGGGGAAAGAGTTATCTGAAAACTCTTTCTTCTTCCTTTCTTCTTCTCCCAACCGTGGAAACTAGGCAAAGGTAAGTGTTTTCTGAGTTATTGATTATTTGTTAAATTAAATGTTAGGTTTTGATCAATAGATGATAATTAAGCTTAAGGAAAACTTAAGTTGTCTTATAATCAAAAGATGAAGAAGTTATAAGAGATTTAAGAAAACGAGTTTTTATATGAAATCATGGAAAAGAGTTGATAATTTGAATTTGAAGTTAAATTTGACTTGTTATCATGATAATTAAGGAATATGAAGTGTTAGAATTGTATTTAGAACATATTGAAATTTGAGTATGATTCTTGAATTACATATGAGGGATAAAATTTTTAAGTTATAGATGATTTTCATGGATATAAGTTGGTTTAAGTAATGGTAGTTGAGTTTAATGATATGATAGGGGTTTAAAATAGAAGAATTGATGATTTTCGGGCTTAAAGTACAATTTCTGGGCAGAGGGAACCGATACCTATGAAGGGGAATCAATTCCTCTTCTTGAACGAAAAATTTCCAGTATGTTCAGGTGGTATCGATTCCCCCTAAAGGAAAAATGAAATTTGGTTCAATAATCTGGCTTAAGTTGTTAACATCAAGGTTAAGGTTTAGGCTTATGATAGTTGTTTTGAAATGTTATATTTATGTAGATATTGAGCCTAAACAAGTTCTGGAATAATCAAATGATTAAAATTGATTCAAATCAAACAAGGCTAAGGTGAGTGCAATTTTACTTATATTATTGAATGAACATTGGCTTGCGATGAGTCAGTGATGAAGTTACTATGGTAAGAAGTGACTCCTAAAAATGTTATTTGATTGGTGATTCTTATATGTGCATGAATACATGAAATGAGTATAGGTTATTTATATATGTTACATAATATGCATATGTGATATATGTTATGAGACATGACCAATGTGAAATGAGATAAGCTATGTGACTATATGAAATGATATATGAATATGCAATACGTGATACATGTGATATGATATGATATGAAATGACATATGAATATGTAATACGTGATACATGTGATATGATATGAAATACATGGTTACACATACATGTGGTATGTGATAGAAGAGAAAGAACAAGTGATGAGAAATGTATTCATAATAAATGCCCATAGTATATGATACAAGAGTTATAGGTATAGTTGGCATGCCAAGAGTCGAGGGTTACATATGTCCTATAAGACATATGATAGGTCCTACGGGACACAGATTACATCCTTCGGGGTGACAGGTCATTCGGGACACAGATGACATCCTTCGGGATGATAGGTCATTCGGGACATTTGTACGAGCTGTGGTGACAACATATGTGTGCACAACCTCAGTGTACTCGCATACCTCTATTCTCAATAATATACATGGGCAATATAATTGCAAGATAAATTAAAGTGAAAGTGATACAAGAAGGTAAGTTTCACATGTGCATGACATGATTTATATATATATGTCATGTTGAAATATATACATGCATATTGAAATGTTATGATTAAATGGTAAGAATGCATATTCATGAAATTATTGTTACATGTTTATTTATTGCCTCACTAAGTCTATGACTTAGCGTGTAAGTGATTTACACGTAGGTACCAAGAAACGAGAATAACAAGAATAGAAGTGGCAATGACAATATTATTACTAGAAGATCAGATCAGAAGTAATCGACAAAGTATGTATTTTGGTGTGTATAGAGTGTTGGCATGTAATAAGTCGTTAATTACGAGTACTCTGATGGAGTTTGTATTTTGTGGTCATTTTTATGTAAATTAACGTATTTTGCTTTAAACAAATTTTAAATTTCTCTATTTTTCAAAAGAGTCAAAGTTTGAAAAGTCAATGTGACACCTCGGACTTGTATTCGGATCGTGTACGGGTTGGGGTGTTACACCTTAACTGTTGAAAGTACAAGCTTGGCGTGTTTTTCTTGCCACTCTGTAAGATCCTTCCTTACATTTGAGACTGGGGTGTCGTAACCGGTTTTCGTCTGGGCACAAAATATTATACTTGGCGGGGAAATTGATGTGAATAAATAGTTTTGAAAATAATTTGGGAGTCGCCATCGGCCTTTTGGATCAGGTAGGTCGAATACCTAAAAATTATTTTCTTTAAAAGAGTTTTAAGAAAACATCAATTAAAAAATGAACTGATCTGCGTTTATAACCAAAAATTCGTTCTTTTTAATAATAAAAAAGGATTCGTGGTCGGTTACGTTTAGGGAAGGATTAACACCCCTACAACGCCCAAAATTGGTACTTTTTAATTATAAATTGTCTCTATTATTAAAATTTTAAAAATTCAAGAATATATTTAATTTATAATCCTATTATTTCAAAATTATATAAAAAATATTTATTTATTTAAAAATATCAGAAAAGAACTTCTAGGTGTCTTAAGACAGCTCTTTTCTTTGATATTGATAAATATTAATTTAAATAATATTGTTTAATTTTAAAATACCAGAATAGGACATCCAGTTGTATTAAGACTGTCCTTTTCTTCGATATTAAAAATAAATATTAAAAATTTAATTACTATTTATTATATATATATTTATGAATACATAAAAATATTTAAAAATATAAACAAGTAAAATTAAAACAATAAAAATACAACTAGAACGATATATTTAAAATCATTAAAATAAATGAAAACATTTAAAATAAATGACTAAATTATAGTAAAAATAAAATTAAAAACCTAATTCATAATTAATCAAAATATTAGGGTTTAAACATGCTATTTCTTTATTTTATTTATTTAGTGACTAAAATAAAATTATCTAAAATTCGGATATTATAATAAAATAAATTAAAAATATAAACTAGGGATTAAAATATTATTTATTAAAATTAAGGGATTAATTCTGTTATTTATCCTAAATATATTATTTTAATAAAAAGGACTAAAATAAATAAACTTAAAATTTCAAGATCAAATTAAAAGTATTATAAACTCAATTTAATGACTAAAATGTAAAGTTTACAAGTTCGGAGGACTGCGAAAAGGATTTAACTATTTTTTAATTACACGCATAGTCCTTCCCGAAACGACGTCGTTCGGGAAGGCCTATATAAGGTCCAAAACCGGCTGGCCCGAAGGGCCAGCTTCATTTCTTTATTTTTCCTCTCTCTCTCTTCTCTGAGAGAGAGAATTTTTCTCTCGCTTCTCTCTAAAACAGAGAGAAGCCAGCCGGCCGACAACCGTCAGCCGGCGTTCTTCTGCCGTCGGCCACCGTCAAGACCGCCGCCGACAACCACATCCGGTGGCCGGAATAAATTTTTTTTTACATTGAAACGTAGATCGGACCGTCCTAATGACGGTTCCGATGATCTTTTCTTTTAAATGGCTCCCGATCGGAGCAAATCTAAGAAATATACCTTCGGTTTTTCGAAGGTTTTGGTGAGATCCGGTGGTCGGGGCTTCCTCGGTAAGTTTCTCTTCTTCCTTTTTCTTTCTTTTCTGTTTCTTTGATGCGATTGTTGTTGAGGTCGTTGGTAGCTTTTTTTTTTGTATTTTGTTTCTTTGTATTTCTCTTCTCTCCGTTTCTGTCTCTGTCTCCTCTCTCATTTTTTCTTGCAGGTTCGGGTGGTGGCTTTTATAGCCATCACCGGTGCTCCTCTCGGACCGGTCCGAAGGATAGAGTTCGGTGAGTCACCGGACTTCCAGTGGTGACTCACCATTTGGCAAATACGTGTGCGGCTACGGCCGACCTTCTGGTGCCTTCGGTTGTGACGTGGCAGCGGTGGAAGCAGAGGCGGCTGGAGGCAGAGGCGGCTAGGGATTAGGGTTAGGAAACCCTAACTGAAACCCTAAATGTTTAGGGTTTCAGTTTGGGTTTTGGGCCGGTTAACTGGGCTTGTAATTTAATATTATTTATATATGTATTTAATATATTTAATAATAATAATAATAATGATAATAATAATAATTATAGTAATAATAATAATAATAAATTAATATGGGTAAAAAATTATTATCTTCAGCTGCCCCTCTTTGCTCATTCTTGTGTTAACAAGAATAGGGCAAAGATGAAAAGATAATAAAATTTTTTATCCATTTGGCTTCACTTGATCATAATGGAGATATTGAATAAATTCTTCTCTTTCTTCAGATGAGTTCTTCTCATTATGAAATTTCTGCTGGGGATGATGCTGACCTCTTTCTTTCTGTGATAGAGTCATTCAAAAGGTTGAATAAGCTTTTGATGAGTTCTTCTTATTATGAACTTTCTCTAGAAAGGCTGATGCTAATCTATCTCCTTCTGTGATAGAATTATGCAAAAAGTTGAACAAGTTCTTCTTATTATGAACTTCTTCTTCCTTCTTTAGATGAGTTCTTCTCATTATGAACTTCTCTGGAAAAGATAATCCATCAATTGATGAATTCAGGTAAAAGGTTGAACAAATTCTTCTCATTATGAACTTCTTCTTCCTTCTTCAGATGAGTTCTTCTCATTATGAACTTCTCTGGAAAAGATAATCCATCAGATGATGGATTTGAGCAAAAGGTTGAACAAATTCTTCTCATTATGAATTTCTTCTTCCTTCTTCAGATGAGTTCTTCTCATTATGAACTTTTTCTGGAAAAGATAATCCATCAGATGATGGATTTGAGCAAAAGGTTGAACAAATTCTTCTCATTATGAATTTCTTCTTCCTTCTTCAGATGAGTTCTTCTCATTATGAACTTTTTCTGGAAAAGCTGATCCATCAGATGATGGATTTGAGCAAAAAGGTTGAACAAATTCTTCTCATTAAGAATTTCTTCTTCCTTCTTCAGATGAGTTCTTCTCATTATGAACTTCTCTGGAAAAGCTGATCCATCAGATGATGGATTTGAGCAAAAGGTTGAACAAATTCTTCTCATTATGAATTTCTTCTTCCTTCTTCAGATGAGTTCTTCTCATTATGAACTTTTTCTGGAAAAGCTGATCCATCAGATGATGGATTTGAGCAAAAAGGTTGAACAAATTCTTCTCATTATGAATTTCTTCTTCCTTCTTCAGATGAGTTCTTCTCATTATGAACTTCTCTGGAAAAGATAATCCATCAATTGATGAATTTAAATCTTTGCTAAAATCTTTGAAATTCATGTTAAGAATTCAACATAGATGAAAATGAATGAAAATGCACCTATTTTTGTAAACACCTAAAATATGATGCATGAATGTTAAGTTATTTGATTTCAGATTGGTGAATTGAGTATTTCTTTAATTGTAAAAACCCAATAGATTTTTCTTCTTCAAATGAGAGAATCTATCATCTTTGACAAATGTAGATATAATGTCACAAAACCTCTTGAGAATAAAACTCAATAGTATAGGCTCTTGAAAAGCTTGCATTCAGGCAACATGTTGATTCTGATAACAACTCATCTGATTATGAAGTGACCTTTCAAGATGATTTCACAGATATCGATAGTTCTTCTAATACCGAGAAATCTTGAATTCTGATTCTGATGAGGAGAATAAACTGTTATACTTGACAAAAATGGGATTCTCAGGGGCTGAAACTTCAATAGCTATGTAGAGACGTGGTCCAGATTCATCAATTGCAGAATTGGCAAATTTTATATGTGCTGCTCACATGGCTAATGTTACTGACACATTTCTTCCGGTACAAGATGGGAAGCCATTATGTAATGATCCCAATTACAAGCAAAGGCGAAACTTGTGCTATGATTTTTGGGAAAGGAATAAGCAAAAGAAGCTTGAAAAGAAACTTCTTAATGAAGACGATCATGCAGTTCATCTTTTAATTCCAATGATTGGTTCTGTAGTTCCTACCAAACCAGATCAGATAACTCAAAGAACACTTCCAGAAGATGCTATTAGCACATTCCTCTTCCAAATTCAATAACTGGTTCTGTGGTTCATACCAAACCAGATCAGATAACTCAAAGAATACTTCCAGAAGATGCTATTGGGTCTCCTTATTTCTACTATGAGCAAATTCATCTTTCAAATTTAATGATTGGTTTTACCAAACCAGATCAGATAACTCAAAGAACACTTCCAGAAGATGCTATGAGCATATGGCATTTGTTCCAGTTAATGTTTGGACTAGGATATCACAGTGCTTATTCGATGTAGAGCCAGAATTTGTAGATTCGAAACATTTTCATGCTACTACACTGACAAGGGCTATATTCATAATTCTGCCAATTAAGAACAGATTTTCTCTTTATTCTGCTTCCTCCATGTGTTGATGCTTTTCCATTGACAAAGAAATGATGGCCTTCATGGGATCCAAGAACAAAGTTGAACTGTTTATAAACATGTACAGGAAGTGCCAAATTGACAGAAAGGATCTGTAAGGCTCTCGAAGGTTATGACAATGAGCCACCTTCGAGTATTCAGAAGTATGTTCTTGATGAGTGCTGAAAATGGAATCTAGTATGGATTGGAAGGAATAAAGTTGCTCCACTTGAACCTGATGAGGTGGAAATACTTCTAGGTTTCCTTAAAAACCATACACAAGGATCTGTATAGAGACATGTTTCCCAGTGATATCAATGTCTTGTTTCTTTTTGCTGGAATCAATGCTACAAAGGTTGCCTTCTACTGTCTTAGTATATCTTTGAAAACAGATGTGCAAGAACTGAATGGTGATCGGTTGGAGCAATTGATGAGTAGATTTGGCGGATTCGACCTTGTTGTCGGTAGCATCCCGTGTAACAATCTTAATGTTCATGGCTTTAAGATGGTGATGATTTGCTTACTTTGTATTCCATGTATTTAAAATTATTAACATAAAGTGATATTTAGAAATCTTTAAATTATTTCAAAATTATGTTAATTCATATAAAAGATTAAATTGAATTTTCAAAAAATAAATTGAATCTTAAATAAATTGAACTTGAAATAGATAGAATTGTATTCAAAGTTATGGCAAGCATAAGAATGATAAAAATTCAAATGTCTCAACAAATTATAAGCATAAGTATTTCTAAATTAATCAAGTTGA